TGTGAGCCAGGCAGACAGACTTGCTGGTATGACTGAACTGCAGTGACAGTGTTACCAGGGTACCCAGAACAGATCTCAGTCCATCGGGTCGAGGGACGGTTTTCTGAGGAAACGGTTTTTAGGTTGAAACCCTCAAAAGAATGATGTCAGTTAACATCCCAAGCCGGGCTCTCGATGACACGGTCACCACAAGCCACGTGTGGCTAATGTGCACTTGAAATGTGGCTAGCCAACCTGAGGCGGGCTGCCAGTATAACGTATACGGGGGAGTTTGAAGACTTCAGCTGAGACGGGGAAAAACAAAGCAATGTCTCTCAGTAATATTTTGATTACATCCTGCAGTGAAGGCACAGGATTAAATAAAAGGTGTCATTCGGATTCATGTCACCTGCGTTTTTTTGACCTTTGTAAAAATTCTGGCTGCTAATGAGTTGCATTCAAGCTGGTGGAGAGATGGCAGCGTCCTGTGTGTCAGCGTGAAAACGAGCTCCGTCGGGTTTTTTCCAGTGGCTACTTTGGTTGGCAAGTAGATCACCAGGCCTTTCTTCTGAGGCACCTCTGGGGAGACTTGAACCACCAACCTCTAAGTTAGCAGCTGAGGGCATTAGCTGTTTGCATCACCAGGGACTCCTGTGTAACTTAAGTCTTGATGGGAGCAGAATGTCTCCTTTGTCTCCTAAGCAATGGCTACTGGATTTGAACCTCTGACCTTGTGGTTAGCAGCCCAATGCTTAATCCATTCTGCCCTCAGGGCTCCCTAACTCAATTGTTCCAAGCTCACTGCCACCGAGGTGATGCCGATTCAGAGAGACCCTATAAGACAGGGTAGAATTGTCCCCGGGACTTTCCGAGGCTGTAACTCTGTGGGAGTAGTAGCTGCTTTGCTACCAGGGCTCGGAACTCAAGTACTCGCAGGTTCTGCGGTACATACGCAGCTTGCATCCCATTTCTACGAGATGGTGCCAGAGTTAGAAGGGTTACTGAGTGACAAGGACCTTTCATTTTCCCACTGGTAAAATTTCCAGTAGTTCCATAAAAGTAATAATTTTTTTTCACAGCTTACATGTTTTGTTTTTAAATTTTAGAGTATTTTTAATTTATTTTTCTCTGTCAAGAACCTAATTTAATTTTCCCCCCAAACCATTTTATTAGGAGCTAATTGAGACATCATACCATTACCATTCCATAGTTCAGTCATATCAATCAGTGTTGTACAATCACTATTGCAATCAATTTCAAGACATTTCTTTTTTCTTTAACTCTTTTTTTTCAATAGTATTAAAGTTTTTAAAAAAATCATTTTATTGGGGACTCATACAACTCTTATCACAATCCATACATACATCCATTGTATATCAAGCACATCTGTACATTTGTTGCTTTCATCATTCCAGTTTGCATATTTTAATCAGGATCCAGAGAGAATCCATTGATTACGATTGGTTTATTTAAAAAAAAACAACACTTTTATTGGCATAGGATTCACATACTCTACATTTATTTCAGTGGTTGAAACACATTTTAAAAAGTTGTGTAGCCTTTTTTTTTTAACCGGCTGGAATCATGGAGGCTGTCGCGGAGAAGAAGAAGGTCCCTGCTGTTCCGGAGACCCTTAAGAACAAGCGAAGATAAAAAAAGAAAAAGCGAAGGAATTTCGCAGAACTAAAGATCAAACGCCTAAGAAAGAAGTTTGCCCAAAAGATGCTTTAAAAGGCAAGGAGGAAGCTTATCTACGAGAAAGCTAAGCACTATCACAAGGAATACAGGCAGATGTACAGAACTGAAATCCGAATGGCTTGGATGGCAAGGAAAGCTGGCAACTTCTATGTGCCTGGAGAGCCCAAGCTGGCATTTGTTATCAGGATCAGAGGTATCAATGGTGTGAGCCCCAAGGTTCGCAAAGTGTTGCCGCTTCTTCGCCTTTGCCAGGTTTTCAAGGCACCTTTGTTAAGCTTAACAAGGCTTCAATTAACATGCTGAGGATTGTGGAACCATACATTGCATGGGGGTACCCAAACCTGAAGTTGGTGAATGAACTCATCTACAAGCGTGATTATGGCAAAATCAATAAGAAGCGTATTGCCTTAACAGATAACACTCTGATTGCACGGTCTCTTGGTAAATATGGTATCATCTGCATGGAGGATCTGATTCATGAGATCTATACTGTTAGGAAACGTTTCAAAGAAACAAATAACTTCCTGTGGCCCTTCAAATTATCTTCTCTGCGAGGTGGGATGAAGAAAAAGACCACCCATTTCGTAGAAGGTGGAGACGCAGGCAACAGGGAAGACCAGATCCACAGACTTATTAGAAGGATGAACTAAGGTATCTATCTGCCATGATTATTTTTGTAATCTGGTCTCTTAATAAAACAGTGACTGCTTTCAAGGGGGGAAAAAAGTGTAAACATCACCACAATACATTTTAGAACATTTTCTTCTTTCCTTATTTTCATAGAGCTCCCCATTTCCCCCCCACCTTCCCTGACAAGGACCATTCTACGTACTTCATGCGCAAGGTCTTGTTTCATCCTTCTAGGGATAACCATTAACATGGCTGTGATGAAACTTCACACTCCAAAAGAGGCAACAGGCACCGGGAGTGAACAGCCAAGGGAGCGAAGCACAGCGAGGATTAGAAGATGAGTGGTGCCAGCCAGCCCAGGGGCTGCACACTGACTCCCTCCCGCCCCCCACCCCCCCACAGAGCAGAGAGGGCCCAGTGATCTGGGGCTGAAAAACGCATCCACTGTAGCCCAAAAGAGGAGCTCTGGTGACGGTATGGGCTAGGCATTGGGCTAACCTCAATGTCAGAGGCTCCAACCCACTAGCTGTTCTGAGAGAGACAGATGAGGCTGTCTCCTCCTGTAAAGATTACCCTCTCAGAAGTCCTATCTAAGGTCGTGGCTATGAGTTGCAATGGACTTGATGGCAGTGCGTTTTGAGTTTCGAGGTGGAAATGAATGGATGACCATGGGTCTTTGTTTTGTTTTGTGTGGGGTACCGGCTCCCCCAATCTAATGGGTCCAAGGCATGGTTGTGTAATTGAGGGGTAAAATTATAAAAACATCAGACAAGATAAAGTATGCAAGTGCTCACCTCTGGGGCCGCCATGACTTCAGGAGCCAGGTTGGCACAGAGCAAGGAAAAATATTTCCAATCAAGGCTTATATACACTCTAGGGGTATGCAAGCCCCCTTACGTAACCACATACGTAACACAGTGGGCTGTACCCTAACCCTAAAAGGTCCCTCAGTACATTGGAGAAGTAACCTAACACTAGTGCCCAGTGCCCCGGACAGGTAAGGGGGAGTGGCTGTCTTCAGAGCGTAGAGAGCAATAGCACATGTCTGCTCCCACAGTTAAAGCTGCCCGCTACACAGCAATTAGCCATATCCTTGTAAGAAGTAACTTTAAGGTAGCCCTATTAGGGGAGGATATAGTGGGGAACAATATTGACTATGAGAATGTGATTGGGACTCGGCTTCTTAATAGATGAAAATAAAGGCTTCATCTGTATGCACTCTCTTCCCGTTCTCTGCTTCCCACAGTTTTGTGTTGTTTGGTTTCTGCAGCCCAGATTGAAGGTGAAAGGAAGTTTGGAAGACAAGGTGGCCTGGGTCCATCTGGCCATGGAGTGACCTCAGGGAGCGTCTGCTTTCTCAGGGGCCACCATTACCTCACCGTGGGGACCCTGGAGTCAGTTTTGGCAGGGCCAGCAGTCTGCCTTGTCCAAGCCAGTTAATCTTTAGGAAGAATGGAAAAAGCCTGGATTGCGGGAGTTCAGGGAGTCTGATTATGGAGGAGGCAGGGACTGAGGGAAGGAGAAGGAAAAGGGGGAGAAAATGGTGTGTGTGGGGGGAAGGGGGGTGTTGTTAAACCAGTGGATCTGGAGTCAGGCGCTCTCAGAGGTGTCAGAACTCTTCCACTGGGTTTTCAATGGCTGGTTTTTCTGTGGTAAATCACCAGGCCTTTCCTCTGAGGGACCACTGGATGGTGAGTAGCCGAGTGCATAATCATATGCAACACACGGGGATTCTAATCCGGGTAGACCAGAACCACAGCTGGCTGTGGAAGTCCCTGCCTACTGTGGTCGACTCTTACCTGAAAGGTTGGCAGTTTAACCCACCTGAAGCACCTGCCATCCGTCTGCTTCTGAAAGGCCACGCCCTCGAAATCTGTGCACACGCGGGGGGTGGGGGTGGGGGTGGGGGGGTGGTGTCACCCTGAGTCCCTCAGAATCCCGATGGCATCTCAGCGCTCTCTGTCTGGAGGACATGGGTATGTGGGGGTAGAGGGGTGGTTCAGGAAGCTGGACCTGACATTAGTGTGACATTCTGCCCCATGAGGAGTTTGGGGAACGTCTCTCTCTCTCTGGAAGATGACATGACAAAGATTAAGAAGTGCATATTCCAAAGGTGGGCTCTGGGCCTCAGAAACTGGCCTAGGATCTGTGACTTCCCTGATGTAGTGGCCTCCCCCCCCAGGTGAATTACCAGCAGGTGGTGGACAGACAGGCAGGTGGGACATCTCTGGCCTTCCAGTGGACAACTGATGTGAGGTTACAGGACTGTAGGCCAGTCAGGCACGTGGCTTGGAGGGACAGAAAGACTGTCCTGAGGGCTTGAAGGCCCGCTCAGCCGCAAGGGGGCGCCATCGCCACGCCCAGCCTCG